GTATAGACAGTAGAAGTCATCATGGAGATGGAGCTATTGGATGTACTGTAATTATATGTGGTACCATTGCTGTGAATTAAAACACACTGTGACAAATTGAATCGCAGCTTCTGGAAGAGGATCCTTACTCATTAGACCATGAACGGATGGGAAATGAAGTCTAGGGGAGACTGCAAGCTTTGTCAGGTTTCCGTTAGGATAGGCGTTTCGATTTGTGTTGGAGATTTACAGGCTTCACCGCCAGAGCCGTGCCTGAGATTTCTTTAAGTACACGGCTCTGAGATTTTTTTAAGTACATGCGAGAAGAAAAAAAATTGGCCCCTTAAAATTTTTCTTAATGCAGCTTAACCCATAAATAATTGGCAAAAAAAGAAAAAATGACAGTTATACGCTTGGGAAGAATCGAACCTAGACAAACCTCTAACCAAACGTGTTTTCAACTATTCACAAACCACTTAGACTAATTCAAATTCTGAAAAATTGGCCCCAAAAAAATATTTAACTCCTCCGACCCTAAAACATATGCTTCATTAGCCTGTGCTCAGGCACGGCTCTGTTCACCGCTACCAGTAATTTTTCACAGAATCTAGTTGTGTCTCACGATGATTTCAATTTCTCTTTGCCATTAATTACATGTAAAAGGAAAACCGATGAGATTTATGGAAAGTCAGAGAGTCGGAAGGAGAAGCGACCGTGGAAGGTATGACGGGAAGGGAATCGTTAATGTCCATAAAAGCGTTGTTCTGTCTATGTAATTTTTTTAGGGACAGATGGCAACGTGACAAGTAGCTGAAGAAAGTTGAGCAAGTTTTATAATATAGACTAGGAGAGAACCTGCGCTCTTTCCTGTATTTCAAATACTTCGTACAGTGCCTAATAAGCGGTTTTATTTTAATTTATATTTTAAATTATACATTTTAAAAACTTTTATTAAATTTTGTTTTTATTATCAATTTTTTTGCCTTTAAAATATTTATATTTTCTTTGGTTTTTTTATAACATATTTTGTAACTATTCTACACCAGTTGTACGAAATAGTCCAAAATTTCTCCCATTATAATAAAGAATTAAAAACCTACTATTTAATTTCTATATAAAAATGTAATAGTTCATATAAAAATATAAGTTGAATACCAGGGAGGAATATTTATTTGTTCTTCCATCTTCATATTCTTTTTATTGTTGTAAATCCTACTAATATAATATTTGTCAATTTTCTCAATATACAATTTTGAGTTTTTTGTTATATATATTTTATTGATTCCTGGTTTTTTTGTACAAAAAAAAATTATGAAAATTTTTATATATCCACTCTTCTTTTTACTATTATTTTTTTATATTTTTTTTATCTCTTTAATCATTTATTAATATTTTTATGTTTTATAAATTTATTAGTTTTATATAAGACTATTTGAAACTTCTTAATATATTCAGTTTCATAATTTTTTACACTTGCATTAAAATTTAGTTATTTTTTTAGTTTAAAAATGAAATTCAAATCATTTGAAAAAAGAAAATAGAATGGTGCATTTAAAAAGTTTTGTATTATATAATATTTATAAGTTGTAATATATTTAAATTAAATTTTAATTCGTTTATTATATAAATTTATTTATATACATATTATTTATTTATATTTTTAATGTGTTTCTTTAAATTTTATTAATTATTTTTTAATTAAGATTGTAAATGGACATGTGACACTCTCTCCAATGCTGATGTGGCATTTAGCTGGAGAAAGTTGATTGTCTTTTATATATAAGATTTTGGTCTTAATTAGGACGACTAATCTGTGGGGGAGGTTTTGCTAAAAATGACCTAAAAAAATTGATTTTGAACAGAAAAATAGACATTTTATGCAACATTTGACAAAAATAATTTAAAGGAGTAGTGAAATGACAATATAATCCTTTATGACAAAAAAACAGATGTTTTAATTACGGTTTAAACCAGTGGCGGAGGCAGAAAAATCATTGACATGGATCATAATAGAAAAAATTGTATAAATTTTAATGGAAAAGAAAAAAAAAATCACCATTGATAAACATCTCAAAGATGTAGTCTACGCTCATTCATATTTTGAAATCGTTTTATCACAGTTTCAAGCACATGTTTTTCAATAAAACAAACTAGACAATCGCTTAAAAACTCATCACCAATGCTATTACGTGAGGTCGTCTTCACAATTTTCATTGCAGAAAAACACCTTTCGACGGTTGCAGTCGCAACAGGAAGAATCAAACATAGCTTCAAAAGACGATAGACCAAAGGATGAGAAAGATGTTTCCTTGTCTCCACCAATACACGAGCAAGATCACCAAGACTTTCTAGGTTAGTAAACCTATCATCCTTTTGCACATTATCAAAAGGTAGATGTCAAGTTGATGATCAAGTGATCTCCGCTCTACAAAACTAAAGTCATCTGGATAAAGCTCAGCCAATCTCACCAACTTTGACTTGTCAAATTGACGAAAAGAATCTATCAGACTTAAGGATGACATACAAACAAGTATCTCAGAATTCACCTCGTCAAAGCGATCATTAAACTCTTGAAGTTGCATATCTAAGACGGTGTAAAAACAATCCACCTTATAATGATGCAAGTTGGTTATACCAGTCTTTGTCCTTGGCTTTCTTGAATCAACAAACTCGTCCTCGAGATTAGGCATTTCAGTTTCATTTTTGTCACTAAAAGAATAAACTTTAGCCACAAAATCATCCCATCCATCATCTCTAAGCTTTTGCAACTGTCGTTTAGTAGATTCCACCAATGAAACAGCATTCAAGATCTCTTGGTCTCCTTTTTGTAGAGCCTTTGATAAGTTATTAGTGAGTCCAAGAACAACAAGCATCAACTGTAGATAGAAAACAAAATCAAAGGTGTGAAAATATTTGAGGAGGCCATATGCTTGTTGTCTTTTGGTGCTGTCTGTGCCATAATTCTGAATATGTTCAAGAACTTCAACAATACACGGAAACATCTCAACAAGGCGCAATAATGTCTTATAATGTGAACCCCAACGAGTATTTCCAGGTTTTTTAAGTGATTGGTCTTGATTCAGCCCAGTTCCACTCTTTATTTCACCATTCTTGATCCCTTCATCCATTCTTTTGCAATTACTTTCAATGAGAACTATTTTTCTTTTGCAAGAAGCACCAATCACATTCAACAAAAGATGAATCATGTCAAAAAATTCTCCTACTTGATTATGTTTTTTTTGTGCAACAGCCACAACAACCAACTGTAATTGATGAGCAAAGCGATGAACATAATAAGCAGATCTACTTTCTTTCAAAATCAATGAGCGCAATCCATTGAATTCTCCTTTCATATTGCTAGCTCCATCATAACCTTGTCCTCTCACCTTTTTTAAACTCAGTCCATTTTTGGCAAATAAAGAATCAATAGCATGCTTTAGAGTTAAAGAAAATGTCTCTTTCACATGACTAATGCCAATAAATCTTTCTTTCACTAACCCAAATTTATCAACAAAGCGAAAAACCACAGCCATTTGCTCTTTATCAGAAACATCAGCAGATTCATCTACCAACAAGGCAAAGATATCATTATCAATTTCTTGGATAACAGATTTAGTTACCTCTTCTGCAAAGCAATGTGCAATGTCTTTTTGAATCGGAGGAGATGTCATCTGATTATTTTTAGGAGCATTGATCAGCACAAATTTTCCTACAGCCTCATTCTGTCTAGCTGTATATTTCAGAAGCTCAATGAAATTACCTTTGTTTTTTGAGACTTCTTTCTCATTATGAGCACGAAAAGATAAGCCTTGGTGTAACAAGTGTCTAGCAACATCAATCGAAGCACTCAAACGGATCCGATACTCGTCTTTCATAATATCGTTTTGCTTATGTAAAGCATGCCTGATAGACTGACCTTGTCTCATCAAATCTTCACATTTATTTTTGGCATTGCTGTGAAAACTAGTATGATCACCCACATGTTTACTGAAGCTATCAGCCTTATTCCAACTAGAAAAACCTGTCGATACAAAAGCATCACACCCACTTTGTTTTCCAACTTGAACTCTGAATAAGTAACAAAATAGGCAAAAAGCCTTTTCTTCTGCCATGCTATACTCTAACCAATCAGGATACTGATCAAACCAATGTGGATTAAAGCACCGCAATGCATTTCCTATTAACTTTTGTTTAAAAGTATGACCGCGAGGTTGACAAGATCCTCTAGTCAAGTATTTGCGTCGTACCTCATCTCTTTGATCAGGATGATAATCTTGAATGTTTTTTCGCTTTGCTGGATCATGTGGTAAATCATCTAATTCAATATTTCGATGGTGGAGATCTTCTTTTCAGAAACTGTTCCATTGTGTTTGACTCTTGAATGTTTTTTCGCTTTGCTGGATCATGTGATAAATCATCCAATTCAATATTAGATGGTGGAGATCTTCTTTTCAAAAACCGTTCCATTGTGTTTGACTGTTGAATTTTTTTTTCTTTGCCGGATTAGATGGTCGAGATTTTTTTTTTTCAGAAACTGTTCCATTATGTTTGACATTATGACCTATATGTACACCAAAACAAAAATATGTTAATCATAATTTAATATTTAAAAATTTGTAGCATAATATATATAAAAAATTGTATACTATTATCAGAGGCATAGATAGTTGATGTCTATATTTTAAATTGCTTAAAATAGACAGTCAAGTAATTTGGTGGGTATTTCCTTTTCCCTCTAGTTTGAGTGGAATATTTACCGGCTCCTCAGCGACGGTCTTTAAGGCAATTCAATATCTCGGCTCTCATTCTTTCCATTTTGGCTTCCATTCCAGAAAGAAAACTTCCCCTTGTCAACTATTCCTTGCCAATCAATCCAAATTTTTAAGATGAATTCCCTTAAACTAGTGATTGAATTCTGCAACATTAATTGCAAATTTACTCTCCTAGCCGTCGACCTTCTTCCCCACCTTGATTCTACACGGCGGCGCTACCTCGTTTACAGCGACCTCCTAGTGAATTTCATGGCGGATCTCCTTCATTCTGCAATCCGTTCGATGTCACTGGAAGATGATGAACCCATCAATCTCCCGGACGACCCCCGTTTCAAGGTGTTTGACGCCAACTCTCTGAGTTTACTGGGGAGACTTCTCAACCCTGACAGCCAACCCATGGCAAAGATGATTGAAGCAATGCCGAGAATCTGGAGAGTGTACAACAGAGTTCGGGGTATTGCACTTTCCAAAGACAAGTTTCAATTCATCTTTGAAAGAGAGGAAGACCTGGAGATTGTTCTGAAAGATAGACCATGGTCCTATAATCATTGGACAATGCTTTTGGAACGATGGACGGCTAACCCACCGGCGGATTTCCTCACCAAGTTTGAGGTGTGGATCCAGATTGCTAATATCCCAATGAATTTTTATACTGCAGAGACAATGTTTGAGCTGGCTAAGGCTGTTGGTCATCCGGAGGAGATTGCATATGACCCCAAGCGATCTCAGAAAACGGAATTTGTACGAGCTAGAGTGACTTTTGATATCTCCAAACCGGCAAGAGATTTCAAGGATTTAAACTTACCCACTGGTGAGCGAGTTGTGATCCAGTACAAGTACGAGAAACTGAGGAAGAAATGTTTTCATTGTCTGAGACTTACTCATGAAAAGAGCTCTTGCCCTCAGCTCCGTAAATCTCAGCCCAGGGGAAATCCTGACCTCCGAGCCTCTTTGGAAGCCAGACGAAACATTAACTTTGGTTTGTTGACGGCACCAGTTACCACCAACAAAGCATTGGAGGTTCCTCCTGGCTTTTCCCCTTTGTTACCTGGGCCCTCACGTGAAGGAAAAAATTCGAATCTTCGTTTGGTAACGCACGCTGAGGATGCAGACAAGCTTGTTCGAATCGAAAGGGTACGTCAACCGACCAGGGAGGCGACTGATGAATCTATGGTAAAGTTACCCATGTTCACCACCCAGCTGGACAAAGGAAAAGGACATGTCTTTGGATTTGAGGATTCCTCTAACAGACTTAAGCGTCGAAATATCAACAATGAGCGACCGATATTCTCGGCTCCGGGCCAAAATCCATTTGGAGACTCTGATACTGAAAACTCCACGGCGCATAGCTTCCCTCTTACGGCTCCCACTCGATTTCCAACGGTTTTTCGGTTAGGCTCCGGTACACAAGCCTTAACGTCCGGGAACTCGATGACTGGCAGGAAATACAGACGCAGACCTCAAGCCTGGAAGAGAAGACCTCGGTCAAATATCAGTACGCCCACAGAAAATGGCCTCTTGCCGGAAAACACGACCAAGGAAGGGATGTCGAAGAGGAAAGCTGGTCCTCCTTCTGTACCCTCTCCTTCCAAATCTCCCAAACCCAGCGAAAAGACGGTGGCTTCCAGTTTGAAGCCGCTGCAGTCCCAATGAGTATAATGAGTTGGAACTGTCGAGGAGCAGGAAGCACCGAGACAGTTCAACGACTCCGGGAGTTTCGGAAGAAACGTTTCCCGGATCTCATGTTCTTGATGGAAACTAAACAACAACATAACTATATGGTGGGTTTGAAGGAGAGTTTGGGGTACGATGAGATGGTCACGGTTGACCCAATTGGCTTGAGTGGTGGTTTGGCGGTGATGTGGAAGAAGAGTTACAAGGTGACAGTGTTGTCCATGGACAAACGTATCATTGATCTCCGGATCAAGATGGGATCGATTGAGTTCTTTCTCTCTTGCATATACGGAGACCCAGTTCGCTCTCAACGGAACCTTGTTTGGGATCGTCTCTCAGATATTGGGCTAGTGAGGGATGAGGCCTGGATGCTACTTGGAGATTTCAACGAATTAATGAACAACGAGGAGAAACTTGGTGGTGAGGAAAGAAGAGAATCCACCTTCTGGGATTTTCGAAATATGGCTGAGAACTGCAAAGTCACAGAACTCCATAGTGTTGGGAATTCTTTCTCCTGGGCCGGCTGGCGTGACCGAGTGTGGATTCAATGTAGACTAGATAGAAGCTTCGGGAATGATGAATGGTTCCAGATGTTCCCTCAATCCATGATGGAGTACTTGGAGATGCTGGGATCAGATCATCGCCCCATTCTGGTTAAGTTTGCTTATGAAGATGAACAGCTGGCAAGAGGGCGTTTCTTCTTTGATAAAAGAATGGCGGATAGTGAGGGTATTGAGGAGGTTATTAAGCGGGGATGGGGAGAGCTAAGTATTAATGACAATACGCCTCTTTTGGACAGAATCAACCGGTGCCGTCGGGAATTGTCTAGGTGGAAGAGAGTGAATAATCTCAATTCACAAACCAGAATTCAGCGCCTCTCTCAAGACCTGGAAAAGGAGATTGCGAAATCACACCCTAACCCGGATCTTATGCGGAAGTATCGGTTGGAGTTAGCTGAAGCTCATAGGGACGAAGAGTCCTTCTGGAAACAGAGAAGTCGTGATTTGTGGCTGAAATCAGGAGATAAAAATACTAAATATTTCCACAACTGTGTCAAAGGGAAAAAGGCAAAGAATAGGGTATTAATGCTCAAAGATGATCAAGGCAGAGAGCAATTTTCGGAAGGCTCCAAAGGTAATATAGCTGTGGAGTACTTTAGAGAGCTGTTCATGAGTAACAACCCTTATGACTTGGAGTCATTATTCACTGGTTTTAATGAACGTGTATCTCCGGAAATGAACGCCTCTCTCACACGGAGGATAACAGATGACGAAATCAAAGGAGCGGCCTTTGCAGTCAAGGGTAGCAGTGCACCTGGAGAGGATGGCCTGTCGGGTATTTTCTACCAGAGATTCTGGAATATAGTTGGACCTGCAGTAAAACGCGAGATTCATAATTTCTTTGAGTCTGCTGTTCTTCCTCTGGGATGGAATCACACGCAACTTTGCCTCATCCCTAAGATTACGAACCCCACGGTAATGAAGGATATGCGACCAATTAGCTTGTGTTCGGTCCAATATAAGATCATCTCCAAGATCTTATGTGATCGCATCAAACCCTTTCTTCCGACGATCGTATCAGATACTCAAGGTGCCTTTGTCTCTGGACGCTTAATCTCAGACAACATTATCGTGGCTCACGAAATGGTTCATGGCTTGAGGACTAACCCTTCAGTGGCGGATACCTTCATGGCAGTTAAAACAGACATGTCTAAGGCCTACGACAGAGTTGAATGGTGCTTCTTAGAAACTTTGATGGAGAAAATGGGTTTCGCCTGCAAATGGATACGATGGATCATGGCGTGTATTAACTCAGTTACTTACTCGGTGCTCCTAAATGGTCAGCTTCATGGCTTCATCAAACCTGAGAGAGGCATTAGACAAGGAGATCCTTTGTCTCCTTTCTTGTTTATTCTTTGTGCAGAAGCTCTGGTGCATACGTTCAACATGTCTGAAGCGGAAGGGAAGCTTCATGGTATTCGGCTTTCTACAGGCGGACCGTCGGTGCACCACCTCCTTTTTGCTGACGATAGTCTCCTAATGTGTAGAGCCTCAGTAGAAGAGAGTGGTGAGTTAATCCGCTGCCTCACGCTCTACAGCGATGCATCCGGCTAGGAGATTAACCAGGCTAAGTCGTCTGTGATATTTGGTGCCAAGATCCCAGATCATGTTAAAGCTTCAGTTAAGAATGTCCTTGGCATTGAGCAGGAAGGTGGTGATGGTAAATACTTGGGATTACCGGAAAGCTTCAGCGGATCTAAAAGCAAATTACTCAGCTTTTTACGCGAAAAACTCCAGGGTCGCCTCAAAGGGTGGTTTGCTAAATCCCTTTCTCAAGGGGGTAAGGAAATACTCCTTAAATCGGTATGCCTTGCCCTTCCGGTGTACGCCATGTCTTGCTTTAGGCTGTCTAAGGATCTGTGTACGAAGCTCACTAGTGCAATGATCGGAATAAGATATCCTGGGTGGCATGGCAGAGGCTGTGTAGAAGTAAGGAAGAGGGTGGGATGGGCTTCCATGATATCGCCCTCTTTAACCAAGCTCTTCTGGGTAAACAAGCATGGAGGATTTGGTCAAACCCTGAATCCTTACTGGCGAGGATCCTCAAGAGTCGGTACTTCAAGAATAGCTCATTCCTCGATAGTGTAACGGGAACTAGACCTTCTTATGCTTGGAGAAGCATCATGTTTGGTAAGGAGCTTCTGGTCCAAGGTCTGCTTAAAACTATTGGCAATGGCAGGGAAACCAAGGTTTGGATTGACAATTGGATCCCAGACACCATCCCAAGGGTTCCTCGATACCAGGAGGGAGCCAATATTGACCTCACTATGTCGGTAGCAGACCTTATGGACGATACTGGACAATGGAATGTGCCATTGGTTCACCAGACCTTCACTGAGGAGGATGCAGCAAGAATACTCGCACTGCAACCTGTTCTAACAAGGCGGGATGACCAGGTGTGGTGTATGACTAAGAGTGGCAAATATACATCTCAAAGTGGATACCAGCTTTTGGAAAATGTTAGATACACTGAACCTAATAACCGGCCGGTTATCCCTCCAGTGGAAAAAGCCTTGTGGAATAAGCTCTGGAAGTCCAAAACTTCCCCTAAGATCAAACACTTCATGTGGAGAGTTCTCGCTGGGGCTCTGGCAGTGAAAGAGAGGCTTAGATCTCGTAACTTGCCAGTGGATGTTCGATGTCCTTCCTGTGGTGATGGAACAGAGAGTATTTGCCATGTCCTGTTCACCTGCGAAAGTGCTAGAGCAGTCTGGGAAATTTCAGGTATTCCCTTCCCAGCAGCAGGTTTTACCACTAACTCGACAATGCTCAACCTTTATCACCTATTCGAGTGCAGTCGAAACCCATTGCTGTCTAGAGCGAACAAGCTGTCATTTCCCTGGATCCTTTGGCAAATTTGGAAAGCACGTAATGCTCTTACCTTTGAATCAGTTCGGTATGAGGCTCATTCTATTGTTCTTAAGGCCAGAGAGGATGCAGAGAGCTGGTTCCATATCAATGACCAAGATGACGGAAAGGAGGCTAACCCCAGATGGGAACATAGTACTTGGAAGAAACCTTTGGCCCACTCCTTAAAGTGTAACATTGGCTCCTCGTGGTGTCGAGAATCGCTTTCCTGTGGGGTGTCGTGGATTGTCCGAGATGACAAGGGTAGAACACTGTTTCATAGTAGACGAGCTTTTGCCAATGTTCCCTCCCAACGTGAAGCAGAACTACTGAGTTTCTCGTGGGCTACGGAAAGCTTATGCAATCTAAGTGAGCTTCGTCCGGTACGACATATCTCCTTTGAATCTTGTGGTATTGAGGCCAGGGAAACTTTCCTAAATCCCCATCTATTCCCTCAGTCTCTGGGCCTTACCTCGGTTATCTGGCAACAACTTCAGACCTTCAACTCCTGGAGTCTCGAGCACTCGGGCCCTCTTGGAAATATGGCGGCAGAGGCAATTGCTACTAGTGTTACCCGAGATGCGAGATACCAATCCTATATCTCACGTTATGGCCCTGCTTGGTTAAGTCGTCTCTTACAAATGGAGGCTGGTAATCTCTGATTGGAGTCCCCCGTGGTTCATACTGGTTAGCGCAATATCGAAGGCGTCTAGTGTCTTTCCCCTCTTCCCTATAGAGTTTTCTTTGTCCTCTTATTGGGTTGAATTCTATGTTGTCTTTTCTTTATGGTACCTACTGGTATCCAACTTCCTTTGATGATTTTGTATGAGTTCGTTATTTAATAATAAACCCAGCGTTAAAAAAAAGACAGTCAAGTAATTTAACCACATCTTAGAAAACATTTAAAAATAAAAGGGAAGTTTCATATAATTACTTGAAACTTATTGCTGATTGATATACAGCTTCCTTTTAAAAAGAAAAATTAATGTGGAATTTGGTTTCTAAATTATATTAGAATGAGTCCACAATTTATAAATAATATTTTAAGATGAATGAGTCTTATTTATAGTAAAAGAACTTGTCGATGTGGGAAAATATTTAATGCAACATTCAATTTTTTTTTTGAATCCACGTGGGTCAACTGACCCAAGTCCCACAAAGCTCATTCCGCCACTGGTTTAAATCCTTACGAAATGTTTTAAAGACTATAGAAGGTAGACTTCTAATAAAGTTTATGAAATTTACTATATAACTAAATCATAAAATTTAATTTTGAAATTAATAAAAAATAATTTTGATTTCAAATTTGCAATCATAAATTAGATATGGTTATTTTTAATTTATACAAATTATTGTTTCACATTCATACGTTTAAATATATAGTTTCAAATTAATAAAAGCAAAATATTTGATTTAGGATTTAGACTTAATAGACTTTAATATGGAAGTTTAACTTAATCAAAATTTAAATTAAAATTGAATCGAAAATAAACTCTAACAAAAAAAAATTCACGTAATCGATGAGAATTACCCAGATCCAGATATAAATAGTGTTATTAAATAACCGGACAA